CGAATCATGAGATATGAAGAAATAGATGTATCTCACTATGTTAGTTAGAGTGTTCTACTAAGCGATAAACAAGGAAAAGCTACCAAAGCAAATGAGTTATCGCAAAAGGAATGAGTAGCAACACTTGGAATGAATCTCAACGAGGTATTTTGGCTCTGACTAAAATACTCCTATAGTATTTTAAGTTGTATGGATACTAGGTAAGTTTTAGGCCTGCTGCAACACCAAAGTCACTCCCAAGCACATGTTGGTCATGTCTCGAATAAATATAGTTGATCAGGCTATATTGACCCTAGACATGATTACATAACTGCCCAGGTTTAACCGCAGTGTTCAACATCCAAGATACTTTTGTTTTGTTCTACTTATGGCGCGGTTCTTGGAATACAGGTATACTTGTATACTTTTTGTAAAAATACTTATATTTTAAAAAGTATACTTTTAGTTTAGAGCACTTAGGCCCCTTAGTGTTTATAGTTGTATACCATGTAAGGTTTGGTATACTTAGTTCACTATAAACAAGAGCTCTGATACCAATCTGTCACACCCCGAAACCGAAGGCGGAAACGTTCCGGGGCGGATGTGACGTCATGCATACATGAAAAGATTGAATACATACATGAAAAGATTTACATTGTTTTAATACAAGTTTATACATATCAGTTTATAGCAAAAGTAAAAGACGTGACTCCAAAACGCTCCGTCTTCTCCAAAAGTTGACAGGAGTACCTGTCTATGGTTGCCCTGAGAATACAAGCAGTTTTAAAATATATCAGCATAAAGCTGGTGAGTTCATAAGCAGTTGATTCTGGTAAAAGATATGTTTCTCTGATTCTTTGAAAAGTTGTTTACCAAGAAAATCCCATATTTTCTTATGAAAGATGTTAGATTTCTCATTAGTTATACGATAAACCACTGTTTATGAAAGGTTATGTTATCCCAAGAAAACCCTATGTTTTCTTATGAAAGATGATGGTTGGTTATCGGTTCCGAAAAGAAGTGTACAAGTATCTACCATACTTGTATCGTTAGGTGTAGTTTTCCTTGAAAAACCCTGGTTGTTCGTTGAGAGTCGTATTAGCCTTATTACATAAATAAAACTAATAAAGTAGGTAGGGAACTAATTCCTAAGGGTACTACGGATACCCTCTAGTAATCAAAACAGTTATTACTTTGAGGTTAGTTTACTAGGTTCATTATTACCAAAAGTAAATCTCTGTTAACTAGGTTGCGAGTTTCATAACCATACATTAAACTAGATATGACACGTACGGTGGTCAGTATCTTTTTATGACTTTGTCACCCGTAGACCTGATGGTCCCACTGTAGCTAGCAGCAAGGTGCGGGATAGTCAGTCTCGTATAGATCTATACACAAGAGTCACGCTCTCCCTAGGAGATTCTGGTTACAAGAATGGTCCTACACTCACAAATCCGGTGGAGTGTTACCAAGGACGTGTCTCCAATCCTTAGATTAACAAACTTACAAGTAATAATACAGAAAAAACTTGTTTATAGTTGGTATGAATCCTTTGTAAAATATCACAATTTAAGACAAGATTCATAAGTTCATGCTTTAGTTTTGAAAACAGTTTCTACGAGTTGATTTCCAAATCGGGTGGTAAAACGGTTTTCCTATGTTTGAAAGCATACTAATCATGGAATTATTTTAAACAAAATAATATAATTGTGCACAAGTTTCCTTGTACTTTTGCTTGTATCCCCCCTGAAAACATTAAAATACGGAAAATGTAGGGGTATGAACTCACATGTCGCGGGTGATTCAGATGAACGGATGGTATAGGATGTTTAGGTGTCAAGTGAGGACTTGAATGCACACTCCGATCCTAATGAACATGTAATGATATTTATGTATCTAATTAGTTATTTAATAACTAATTAAGTAAGTTTATACACTCTAGTACATGGAAACACTTTACCACAAGTGTTAGGAGTGCTAAGGGTTGCTTCTAAGGGGTGTATGGCCTCACTATGGAGTTTACACTTTGAATGATGGCCCTTAGGGGTGTTTACGGTTCTAAGACCACTTCCCCCATGAGTTTACGGCCGTAAACTCATGGAAGTGGTGTCATTGGGTGTTTGAAGGTCTTATATCACTCAAGGAATTATGCTAGACTCGAATCAAGGGCTAAGGAAGTGACTAGGGCTCAAAATGGACACTTTTTGGAGTTTACGGTCCTTGGATCACCCCCTTGGGTGTTTACGGTCGTAAACACATGGGTTTACGGCCGTAAACCCATGTTTGCCCATTTCCTTTGTGTTTTGGTGGTTCTATCTCATGCATGCAAGTTTCTAGTCACTTATACAAGCATTGGAAGGTGTTAAGGGCACTTAAACACCCTTAGAAGGTGTTTACGGTTTTGGGAGACCTTCCCAAACCGTAAACTCATGTTTTCCCTTCTTTTCACGTTTTTGGGGTTCTTAGATCATGCATGTGAGTTTCTAGTTCATTAGCCAAGCATTGGAAGGAGTTTGGGGCATCAAAATACCTTTTGGAGGTGTTTACGGTTTTTGGGAGGCATCCCCAAACCGTAAACCCTTGTTCTTGGGGGGTTTTTGGTGTTTAACCCATGGATTACTAAGCATACTAAGCATATAAATAGCTAGGGGGAGTATACTTACGTTCTAGAAGCTTGGATGGTCGTTTTTGGCCAAGAACACTAGTGTGTGTTCTTGGTGTTCTTGGTGAACACTTGAAGATCTAAGCAAAAATCGAACTCCATGGATGAAGTGATGTAAAAACACTAGATTAAGTGTTATATGAACAAATCTAGGCAAGGAACACTTACGTTTTGGCGGATTTGACGGGAAGATTTTATGATAGTTGAGAGAGTTTCTTGAGTGTTCTTGAGGTGGAAGTTGGAAAAATGAGAGAAAATGACTAAGTGTCATATTTATACTCTTCGGGTTTTTACGGGCGTAAATTTCCGTTTTTACGTCCGTAAACTCCAAATTTTTGGAGTTTCGCGACTTACGTTAAACACGGCAACTCTAAATTTACACTTCCTTATTTTTGGTTCGCTTGCCGAATATAAAATGAAATATTCAAACGGGCTTAAATCTGGCTAAAAATGTTTTGAGATAAATTTGGCTAATTTTTGAAGTGCTTGACTGCGGAAATTAAAACAATTGGAAATTTCGGGTTGTCACATTATCCCCCCGTTAGAGAGAATTTCGTCCTGAAATTTGAGTTCGAGCCACCTAGTTATCACAAAATAACTAAGCAAAGAGGTGAGGACGTTTAAATTTCAATTTCTCTTCGCACTCCCAAGTGAACTCCGGTCTTCGCTTGGCGTTCCAGCGAACCTTCATGAACGGGATGCGGATTCGTTTCGTTCGTTTGACCTCTCGGTTCATGATTCTTACTGGTTCTTCTACGAAGTTAGGGTTCCCAATGATTTTTATCCTGACTAGTGGGATTATACAAGTCACGTCGGACAAACATCTTGTCCATGTCGTATACGTGAATCGACTAGGGTGGAATCTATGGAATTCCGAAAGTAGTCGAGGTCTGACGGAAGTTGGACCTATAAGAATCAATGCTTTGCTAAATTGCATAGATTTCTATTGTGGAAATCAAGAATTAAACAATTCTCATCAAAGCTTGGTAAATTGCATAGACTTCTATTGTGGAACTCAAGACTCAAACAATGCTCATCAAAGCTTTGCTAAATTGCATAGACTTCTATTGTGGAACTCAAGAATTAAACAATGCTCATCCACCCATAACTTTAATTGCATAGACTTCTATTGTAGAACTCAAGAATTAAAAAATGCTCATCAAAGCTTTCCTAAATTGCATAGACTTCTATTGTGGAACTCACGAATAAAACATTGCTCATCAAACCTTTGCTTAAATTGCATAGACTTCTATTGTGGAACTCAAGAATTAAACGATGCTCATCAAAGCTTTGCTAAATTGCTTAGAATACTTCTATTGTGGAACTCGAGAATTGCTTATCAAAGCTTTATAAAATTGCATAGACTTCTATTGTGGAACTGAAGAATTAAACAATGCTCATTAAAGCTTTGGTAAATTTCGTAGATTAATTTAATTGTGTAACTCAAGAATTAAGCAATGCTCATCAAAGCTTTGCTAAATTGCATCGACTTCTATTGTGGAACCCAAGCATTAAACAATACCAATCAACGCTTTGCTAAATTGCTTAGACATCTATTCTAGAACTCAAGAATAAAACAATACTCATCAAATCTTTGCTAAATTGCATAGAGTACTTCTATTATGGAACTCAACAATTAAACAATTCTCATCAAAGCTTTGCTAAATTGCATAGAGTACTTCTATGGTGGAACTCAAGAATTAAAAAATGCTCATCAAAGCTTTGCTAAATTGCATAGACTTCTATTGTGGAACTCATGAATTAAACAATGATCATCAAACCTTTGGTTAATTTGCGTAGACTTCTATTGTGGAAATCAAGAATTAAACAATGCTCATGTATGCTTTGCTAAATTGCATAAAATATTTCTATTGTGGAACTCAAGTATTAAACAATGCTTATCAAAGCTTTGCTAAATTGCATACACTTCTATTATGGAACTCAATAATTAAAGAGTGCTCATCAAAGTTTTGATAAATTACATAGACTTCAATTGTGGAACTCAAGAATTAAACAATGCTCATTAAAGCTTTGGTAAATTTCATAGATCACTTCTATTGTGGAACTCAAGAATTAAGCAATGCTCATCCAAACTTTGCTAAATTTCATCGACTTGTATTGTGGAACTCAAGAATTAAACAATACTCATCGAAGCTTTGCTAAATTGCATAGACTTCTACTGTAGAACTCAAGAATTAAACAATGCTAAAAACTTTTTCGCTTTCTCTCTCTACTTTCTCTCTCTTCCCCTGATTCTCTCTATCAGTGGTGCGATCTAGTTTTTGGTTCATCGGTGCTGCTTTTCCAACGAATTTCATGTAGTCGTTGAAGCAATTTCTCTTCTGTTTCCGTTGTCCTAATGGGTGCGTCATCTAAAGCGGATCGATTGAAGGAAGTGAAAGTTAAGCCACCGGATAAAAGTGTTGCTGTCCAGTACGTTTGGACTGAAGTGGATGTGAAAGATCTAGTTCCCCCTGGGGTCATTGATCAGTCCTCAGCTACGATTTATAAAGCTCGTCGTAAGCCAAGTGCTTCTGGAGCTGTTGCTTCGGGGATTGGAAAAGCTGAATGGAAAATGGAGGGGAAAGCTTTCAGAGTGAAGAACAGAGCTCGAAAAATTGTGGATGGGATATCACCGATAGATGCAAAGGAATACTACACTGAAGAAGCTAATGAGGAGGAAACGGAAGATGACTCGGAGTCTGTATCGGCCTGGGAGTCGGATTCTAATAGTTCAATTCCTGGAAATGATAGCAATATGAAGGGGTTGAAGGATGGGGGTTCTGGTGAGCTGAAGACTATTGGAGTTCAAGTTGTCTCTATTCCTTCAGGTAATACTGCTAATTTGTTGAAAAATTGGGATGGTTCTAAGGTGAATGATGAATTATTGAGCCCTAGTTCGGAATTGAAGAGTGTTACTAGTGAAATGATTAGGGTGAATCCTAACATTGATGTGATTGATGTCAATAAACCTGTATGCCCTGATTTGGTTGATGATGAAGTTGAGAAGTCTAAATCTAATGGTGATAAGAAGGTTATCAGTAATGAAGAATTTATTCCGGGAGTTGGCTTTCAATTTCTTAATGAGTTGAAGGTGGAAACACCTAAGAGGAAGGATTTAGATAGTAAGTTGAATCAGGAAATGGATGTCGATATGTCAAATTTGAATAAGCAAGTTAATGAGGAAGGAGATGATTCTGAAGATGATGGTTCTTCTGAAGAGGATGGGGAAGATGAATCTAGTGAGGATGAGTCTAGTGAAGATGAGGAAATTGTGATGGAAGAGGAGGTTAATACTAAGATGAGTAAAGAGCCTAGTTTAAAGATGAAGTCTGGTACTGTTATTAATAGTATTAATATGCTTCCTTCTATTTTGGGTGATGCTAATAGTTGTAAAAAGGTGGATGGTGATAGTCAGGGGAACTTGTTGAACTCTTATGCAGGTGTGTTAAAAGGTAATAGACATAAGGGTAAGATTGATGTCAAGTTTATTCCAGGGGAAAAAGGCAAAGAAGAAGGACCTGTTATTATCCCGATTGAGAATTTAAAGAAAGCGAGTATTCCATATACTAATACTTTATATGGGTATATGATTGATAAGAAGTTAGCGTTTCCTGTGATTCAGCAAGAGGTTAGAAGGCTATGGAAGAATGTGGGTCTTGAAGAGATATTCATGAACAGTAAAGGGTTTTTCTTTTTTAAATTTAGTGATGAGCAGGGGATGTTATCTATATTGGAGGGAAGCCCATGGTTGATGTTCAATAATATGCCATTATTTCTTCAAAGGTGGAGACCAGGTCTGAAATTAACCAAGAATAGTCATGATAAAATTCCGGTGTGGATCAAAATCTTTGATTTACCTTTGGAAGTATGGAGTGGAGAGAATTTGTGTATTATAGCGAGTAAGTTGGGGGTGCCTCTGGCTTTTGATTCTTTTACTGAGGAGATGTGTTTGGAACACAAGGGTAGAAACGCTTATGCTCGAATTCTTGTTGAAATGGCGGCTGATAAGGAATGGATGAGGAAAATTGAGGTTTCTACTTGGGATTTTGTTACTAATTCTGCTGTGGTTCAGAGTTTTGATGTGGAGTATGCTTGGATGCCTTCTAGATGTAATCACTGTAAGGTTTATGGGCATACGGATAAAGTTTGTTTGGCAGCTTTGAATGAAGAGAAAGTGGTAAAGAATGGGGATAATGGGAACAATAAGAGAAATAAAGGGAAGGAAATGGTTAATGATGATGGATTTACGGAGGTTGTTTATAAGAAGGTTGCAGGAAATAATGATGGTGAAGGTACTAGTAAATCTAAGGAGGGTCATGCTCAATTGTATAATCAAAGATATAGTGGGAAGAATGGAAATTTTAACAGGGGAAATAATTTCAGAGGCAATTATGGGAATAGAGGTGGTAATGGAAGGGGACAGAATGGGAATTGGAATAATAAAGGGGTGGGTCATTGGAATTTGGAAAAGAATAGAAGATATGAGAAGTTTGTTAATGGTCAGGCTTTGGTTGGTAATCAGGGGAAAATGGAGAATAAGATGCAGGGGAATGCTATAAAGGATGATAACATAAAAGTGGGTGTTAACAAGAGTCTAGAAAATAAGACTGTTTCTAGTGATGGTTGCAGTATTAAAAATAGTTTTGAAATCCTGGGAAGGATTGATGAGGAAGTTATGGATAGAATGGAAGAGGATGCTAAGGGAGGCAAAGTTGATGGTTATCAGGAAGGTGATTGTGTTGATTATTCTTCTGATGTTGTTGGAATAATGAATAATAAGTTGGATCCTTCTAAGTTTGTTGGGAAGGGTAATGTAGGGAATGAAAGTAATAAAATGAAGAATAGTATGATGGTTCAGGGGAATAGTAAAAGCAAAGATGGGATTTCTCAGGCATTTGAGGAGGTAAATGCCAAAAACTCTATTATTTCCCAATGATGTCTATAGGGGTATGGAATGTCAGGGGCTTGAATAAAGCTATTAAGCAGAAGGAGGTTATTGATGTTATTAGGAGTAATAACCTTGGTATATGTGCTGTGGTGGAGTCTCATGTCAAGGTCTTAAATCTTAAGAATGTTTGTGTTAAGACCTTTGGTCAATGGGATTGGGTTTCTAATAATAGTAGCTGTGAGGCTGGAACTAGAATAATTGTTGGATGGAATCCAAGACTTTTTGATGTGATGGTGATTTCTCAGTCTAGACAAGTTATTCACTGTTATGTTAGATTCTGTGATTCCAATTATAGCATGTATTTGTCTTTTATATATGCTGCTTCGAATTATCTTGAGAGAAGGTTATTATGGGATAATTTGAAGAAACATAGTTTGGTTGTTAAGAAGGAAGCATGGGGAATATTAGGTGATTTTAATGTTGCTTTAAAACCATCGGAATATTCTGAAGGTTGTTCCAAAACGCCTAAAGGAGTTGATGATTTTATTGACTGTATAAACTTTATTGAAGTTGAGGATCTGAATTCCTCTGGGTTTCAGTTTACTTGGAATAAAACTCCTGCTGGGAATAAGGGCCTTTTGAAGAAGTTAGATAGGGTGATGGCCAATTTGAAATTTGTTTCGGATCATCCTTTAGCTCATGCTGTTTTTAAACCTTATAGGGTGTCGGATCATTGTCCTGCTATTTTAAATGTTCCTGTTGGCAAATTGAGATGGAAACCTTCTTTTAGGTTTGCTAATTTTATCACTGAAAAGGTGGAGTTCTTACCCCTGGTTAAGGAAGTTTGGGATGCTAATATTGAAGGTTTTTTTATGTTCAAAGTGTGCCAAAAGTTGAAGATTCTTAAAAAGCATTGTAGGGAGCTTTGCAATAAGCACAGGGTTCTGGGAAGAGAATCCAAATGTTAAGAAAGGAGTTGGAAAGTAAACAATCTGAAATTGATCTTAATCCTTTTGATTGTAAGATTAGGGAGGAGCATACTAATATTCTTTTTGATTTTAATGTTGCTTGTAATGATGAAGAAAAGCTTCTTTTCCAGAGATCTAAGATAAATTGGTTACAGGAAGGGGACAATAATACAAAGTTTTTTCATAGAGTTGTGAAGAGCAGGGGCAATAGAAATCGTATTCTGATGGTTATTGATGAAGATGGAAGATGGGTTAGTGGGAAGGCTATGAAGGATAAATTTGTTACTCATTTCAATAAGTTTTTGGGTTGTAAAGATGTTACTGAGTTTTCGTGTTTAAATGATGGTTTCTTTCATAATAAATTGGATAGTAGGGTGGCTGCTAATATGATTAGAGTGGTGACTGATGAAGAAATCAAAGTGGCGATGTTTGATATTGATGAAAATCGTGCCCCTGGACCTGATGGGTACTCCTCCAAATTTTTTAAAAGTTCTTGGAACATTGTTGGGCCGGAGGTGTGTAAAGCTGTGAGGGAATTTTTTTGGACTGGTAAATTGTTGAAGGGGATTAATGCTACGAGAATAGTGCTGGTTCCTAAAGTGGAGTTCCCGAGGAAAGTTTCTGATTTCCGTCCTATAGCCTGCTGTAACACTTTATATAAGTGTATTAGTAAGATTATAGTGAACAGAATTAGAAATAGTTTGGGTGATATTGTGAGCAAAAATCAATCAGCTTTCATTCCTGGAAGATCTATTGTGGATAATATTCTCCTTGCTCAGGAGCTGATGGTGGGGTATAAAAATAAGAGGGGAGTTCCCAAATGCACCATAAAGATTGATATTCAAAAGGCATATGATACGGTGGATTGGAATTTTCTTAGTAGAATTCTGCAGGGGTTTGGTTTTCATACGATAATGATTCAGTGGATTATGGCTTGTGTTTCTACTCCTTGGTTCATGCTTAACTTTAATGGTGAAGATCATGGGTATTTTGAAGGAAAGAGGGGTCTTAGGCAGGGTGATCCTCTATCTCCTTACCTATTTACTATAGTTATGGAGGTGTTTAATATCATCCTTTTGAAGAAAATTGAAGCTGGCCAGAATTTTAAGTTTCATAGTAAGTGTATGTCCCTTAAAATTACTCATTTATGCTTTGCTGATGATTTGTTAGTTTTTTCTTATGGAAATGGGAATTCTGCTAGAGTTATAAGGGATGCTCTTGATGAGTTCAAAAAAGTTTCAGGGTTGAAGGTGAGCATGGAAAAAAGCCAGATTTTCTTCAGTTGTGTTAAACCCAATATGAGAAGGATTATCTTGGGCATTCTTCCTTTTGATATTGGGAGATTTCCTTTTAAGTATTTGGGAATTCCTATGTGTGTTACAAAATTATTTGATAGAGATTGTAAACAGCTTATTGAGAAGATTAAGATGAGAATTTTCAATTGGAAAACAAGGCTTTATCGTTTGCTGGAAGGCTGCAGCTCATTAATTCTGTTTTGACATCTATTCATGTGTATTGGGCTTCGATTTTTAAAATTCCCATTGCTACTATTAAAGAGATTGAAAAGCTTTGTAGAAGTTTCTTGTGGGCGAATGGTGAGGTAGTCAAAGGGAAAGCTAAAGTCAAGTGGAATGATATTTGTAAGCCGAAAATTTATGGTGGTTTAGGAGTGAAGAATTTAAGGAAATGGAATGATGCTTTGTTAGCTAAACATGTGTGGAATGTGATTAATAGCAAAAATTCTCTGTGGGTTCAGTGGGTGAAATCCAATTACATTGGAAACAGGAATTTTTGGGATATTTTGCAGAAGAAGAGTATGAGCTGGACTTGGAAGAGGTTCCTTGAGGTGAGAAAAATTGTTAGGCCCCATGTTGTTTCGTGTGTGGGAAACGGGATGAATACTTCTCTCTGGCATGATTGGTGGCACCCAATTGGTATTTTATGTTCTATTATATCTAGAAGAGATTGGGTTAGCAATGGGTTTAGTGATTCTTCCTTGGTCAGTGATGTTCTAGTCTATGATTGCTATACTTGGCCGGTTGAGTGGGTTAATATATTCCCTGGATTGAAGGATGCTCCCATGTTTTGTATTGAGCCTAATCTGAGGGATGTTGCAGGTTGGAGAGATAAGAAAGGAATATGTAAACAATTTTCATGCAAACAGGTGTGGTGGGATATAAATAATTTTGAAGACCAAGTTCCTTGGCATGATATTGTTTGGTATGGTAATTGCATTCCTCGAAATTCGTTTATTTTGTGGATGGCTATTTTGAATAGATTGAAGACCCAGGATCGTGTCAGAGGTTGGGAAGTTTCTGGTAACTTACTTTGTCCTTTTTGTGCTGTTACTCCTGATTCACATGTTCATCTCTTCTTTAAATGTGATTATTCTCAACTTATTTGGAGGTATTTTTGTAATAAGATGGGTCTTAATCTTTTTATGGATGATTGGAATGAATTGATTATGAAGCTGTGCAGTTTGTTTAAAAGGAATTCTGGTGAGAATCTGGTTAATAAATGTGTTTTTGCTAGTTGTGTTGCACATATTTGGAAGGAGAGAAATTCTAGACTATTTAGTAACAGGAGAAATTCGTATAAGGGGCTGATTGCTTGTATTGAAAGTGAAATACATTTAATGCTGTTGGGGTTGAGGAAAAAGGCTAAGATGGTCAATGATAAAGTTTTTAAGGCCTGGGGTATTTCTGGAATGGAAAAAGTTTAAGTAATGGATGCTATTTTCTGGTTTTTTAGTTTGTTGGTTGGTGGCTATTGGTTTTGGGGTTGGCATAGAAGGATGTTTAACTTTGGTGATCTTAATGTTGTGGATTGGTGGGGGCATTTTTGGAATAAGTTTCTTTACAAAGGAATTGACGGATTGTGTTACTGGTTTGAGAGTTTGCTCTCAAATCATGTGACTTGTACCTATGGGATTTTCTGTTTGGATATGATCTTTATTGAGATTATCCAAATGGAGAATCCTAGACATGTGATTGATGCCATGTCTAGTATGAAACTTGTTCTGATTTCTTGGAGTTTTGGTGTTAGTTTGTTGTGGTTTGGCTTGTGCTTGATATGCAAGATTTTTTTGCAAAGGTCGGGTTTGGATCATGTTTGCAAGCAGATGGAGTCTTTTCTGTTGAAGACTAAGTGGAGGATTGACGAGAGGAGAAGTGACAGAAGATGCGGGATTGATAAATTGATGGGGTTTATAGTTACTATTATGAGTGTTATAATTGTGTTATCTTTTATTGGTTCTATGTTATGTATTGTGTAGGGAGTATTGTGGTTTTGTTGGGTTTTTTCTTAAAGCTTGGCCTTCGGACTGTGGGTTTTTTTAAGGGCCTTACCCCTTGCTTAGGTATTAATGATCTTTGGGGATTTTGGTGGTGCAAGGGGGTGAAGTTACATTTTTTCCCACTTTCAATAAGTCTTTGAGCTAGCTTTAAGGATAATAAGGTTTTTTTGGGGTTTTGGGTGGTTAAGTCTGGTTATTAAAAAGTGGCTTGGTAGTTGGTTATGGATAGGTTGGTTAGATTTGTATTTTGTTTGACTATTTTATTTCCGTTTGTTTTTGTATTCTTTTATTCTTTTTAATAAAGTTTGCTGAGCTTTGGCTCTTTCAAAAAAAAAAAAGAATTAAACAATGCTAATCAAAGCTCCACTAAATTGCATAGAATACTTCTAATGTGGAACTCAATAATTAAACAATGCTTATCAAAGCTATGCTAAATTGCAAAGACTTCAATTGTGGAACTCAAGAATTAAACCATGCTCATTAAAGCTTTGGTAAATTTCATAGATTACTTCTATTGTGGAACTCAAGAATTACACAATGCTCATCCAAGCTTTGCTGAATTGCATCGACTTCTATTGTGGAACTCAAGAATTAAACAATACTCAACAAAGCTTTGCTAAATTTCATAGACTTCTACTGTAGAACTCAAGAATTAAACAATGGTCATCAAAGCTTTGCTAAATTGCATAGACTACTTCTATTATGAAACTCATGAATTAAACAATGCTCATCAAACTTTGCTAACTTGCATAGACTTCTATTGTGGAACACAAGAATTAAACAATGCTCATCAAAGCTTTGCTAAATTGCATAGACTTCTATTGTGGAACTCATGAATTAAACAATGCACATCAACCCTTTTCTTAGATTGCATAGATTTCTATTGTGGAACACATGAATTAAACAATGCTCATCAACTATTTGCTTTAATTGCAAAGACTTCTATTGTGGAACTCAAGAATTAAGCAATGCTCATTAAAGATTGTCGAAATTTCATCGACTTCTATTGTGGAACTCAAGAATTAAACAATACTCATCAAAGCTTTGCTAAATTGCATAGACTTCTATTGTAGAACTCAAGAATTAAACAATGCTCATCAAAGCTTTGCTAAATTGCATAGACTACTTTTATTATGGAACTCAAGAATTAAACAATGCTCATCAAAGCTTTGCTAAATTGCATAGACTTCTATTGTGGAAATCAAGAATTAAACAACAATGCTCATCAAAGCTTTGCTAAATTGCATAGACTTCTATTGTGGAACTCAAGACTTAAACAATGCTCATCAATGCTTTGGACTGGTAAATTGTTGAAGGGGATTAATGCTACGAGAATAGTGCTGGTTCCTAAAGTGGAGTTCCCGAGGAAAGTTTCTGATTTCCGTCCTATAGCCTGCTGTAACACTTTATATAAGTGTATTAGTAAGATTATAGTGAACAGAATTAGAAATAGTTTGGGTGATATTGTGAGCAAAAATCAATCAGCTTTCATTCCTGGAAGATCTATTGTGGATAATATTCTCCTTGCTCAGGAGCTGATGGTGGGGTATAAAAATAAGAGGGGAGTTCCCAAATGCACCATAAAGATTGATATTCAAAAGGCATATGATACGGTGGATTGGAATTTTCTTAGTAGAATTCTGCAGGGGTTTGGTTTTCATACGATAATGATTCAGTGGATTATGGCTTGTGTTTCTACTCCTTGGTTCATGCTTAACTTTAATGGTGAAGATCATGGGTATTTTGAAGGAAGAGGGGTCTTAGGCAGGGTGATCCTCTATCTCCTTACCTATTTACTATAGTTATGGAGGTGTTTAATATCATCCTTTGAAGAAAATTGAAGCTGGCCAGAATTTTAAGTTTCATAGTAAGTGTATGTCCCTTAAAATTACTCATTTATGCTTTGCTGATGATTTGTTAGTTTTTTCTTATGGAAATGGGAATTCTGCTAGAGTTATAAGGGATGCTCTTGATGAGTTCAAAAAAGTTTCAGGGTTGAAGGTGAGCATGGAAAAAAGCCAGATTTTCTTCAGTTGTGTTAAACCCAATATGAGAAGGATTATCTTGGGCATTCTTCCTTTTGATATTGGGAGATTTCCTTTTAAGTATTTGGGAATTCCTATGTGTGTTACAAAATTATTTGATAGAGATTGTAAACAGCTTATTGAGAAGATTAAGATGAGAATTTTCAATTGGAAAAGCAAGGCTTTATCGTTTGCTGGAAGGCTGTAGCTCATTAATTCTGTTTTGACATCTATTCATGTGTATTGGGCTTCGATTTTTAAAATTCCCATTGCTACTATTAAAGAGATTGAAAAACTTTGTAGAAGTTTCTTGTGGGCGAATGGTGAGGTAGTCAAAGGAAAGCTAAAGTCAAGTGGAATGATATTTGTAAGCCGAAAATTTATGGTGGTTTAGGAGTGAAGAATTTAAGGAAATGGAATGATGCTTTGTTAGCTAAACATGTGTGGAATGTGATTAATAACAAAAATTCTCTGTGGGTTCAGTGGGTGAAATCCAATTACATTGGAAACAAGAATTTTTGGGATATTTTGCAGAAGAAGAGTATGAGCTGGACTTGGAAGAGGTTCCTTGAGGTGAGAAAAATTGTTAGGCCCCATGTTGTTTCGTGTGTGGGGAAACGGGATGAATACTTCTCTCTGGCATGATTGGTGGCACCCAATTGGTATTTTATGTTCTATTATATCTATAAGAGATTGGGTTAGCAATGGGTTTAGTGATTCTTCCTTGGTCGGTGATGTTCTAGTCTATGATTGCTATACTTGGCCGGTTGAGTGGGTTAATATATCCCTGGATTGAAGGATGCTCCCATGTTTTGTATTGAGCCTAATCTGAGGGATGTTGTAGGTTGGGAGAGATAAGAAAGGAATATGTAAACAATTTTCATGCAAACAGGTGTGGTGTGATATAAATAATTTTGGAGACCAAGTTCCTTGGCATGATATTGTTTGGTATGGTAATTGCATTCCTCGAAATTCGTTTATTTTGTGGATGGCTATTTTGAATAGATTGAAGACCCAGGATCGTGTCAGAGGTGGGAAGTTTCTGGTAACTTACTTTGTCCTTTTTTGTGCTGTTACTCCTGATTCACATGTTCATCTCTTCTTTAAATGTGATTATTCTCAACTTATTTGGAGGTATTTTTGTAATAAGATGGGTCTTAATCTTTTTATGGATGATTGGAATGAATTAATTATGAAGCTGTGCAGTTTGTTTAAAAGGAATTCTGGTGAGAATCTGGTTAATAAATGTGTTTTTGCTAGTTGTGTTGCACATATTTGGAAGGAGAGAGAAATTCAAGACTATTTAGTAACAGGAGAAATTCGTATAAGGGGCTGATTGCTTGTATTGAAAGTGAAATACATTTAATGCTGTTGGGGTTGAGGAAAAAGGCTAAGATGGTCAATGATAAAGTTTTTAATACCTGGGGTATTTCTGGAATGGAAAAAGTTTAAGTAATGGATGCTATTTTCTGGTTTTTTAGTTTGTTGGTTGGTGGCTATTGGTTTTGGGGTTGGCATAGAAGGATGTTTAACTTTGGATCTTAATGCTGTGGATTGGTGGGGGCATTTTTGGAATAAGTTTCTTTACAAAGGAATTGACGGATTGTGTTACTGGTTTGAGAGTTTGCTCTCAAATCATGTGACTTGTACCTATGGGATTTTCTGTTTGGATATGATCTTTATTGAGATTATCCAAATGGAGAATCCTAGACATGTGATTGATGCCATGTCTAGTATGAAACTTGTTCTGATTTCTTGGAGTTTTGGTGTTAGTTTGTTGTGGTTTGGCTTGTGCTTGATATGCAAGATTTTTTTGCAAAGGTCGGGTTTGGATCATGTTTGCAAGCAGATGGAGTCTTTTCTGTTGAAGACTAAGTGGAGGATTGACGAGAGGAGAAGTGACAGAAGATGCGGGATTGATAAATTGATGGGGTTTATAGTTACTATTATGAGTGTTATAATTGTGTTATCTTTTATTGGTTCTATGTTATGTATTGTGTAGGGAGTATTGTGGTTTTGTTGGGTTTTTTCTTAAAGCTTGGCCTTCGGACTGTGGGTTTTTTAAGGGCCTTACCCCTTGCTTAGGTATTAATGATCTTTGGGGATTTTGGTGGTGCAAGGGGGTGAAGTTACATTTTTTCCCACTTTCAATAAGTCTTTGAGCTAGCTTTAAGGATAATAAGTTTTTTTGGGGTTTTGGGTGGTTAAGTCTGGTTATTAAAAAGTGGCTTGTAGTTGGTTATGGATAGGTTGGTTAGATTTGTATTTTGTTTGACTATTTTATTTCCGTTTGTTTTTGTATTCTTTTATTCTTTTTAATAAAGTTTGCTGAGCTTTGGCTTTTTCAAAAAAAAAAAGAATTAAACAATGCTAATCAAAGCTCCACTAAATTGCATAGAATAC